CTGATTTCCTCCCCTACACTCTTCCCCTCTCTTGCCCTGCTTCCACATTGACTCAGTGTCTGTAACTATTTTTCAATGCATTTTTGTCTTCCAATCATTCAGTCTCTACCATAGAGTGCAGATAGTCGGTAGTGGAGACATTGTCTCTCTTTCTTAGCCTGACTCACTTCACTCAGCAATAAATCTTCCATATTCGACCACTTTCTATCAAATGCCAGGGTCTTGTTTTTTATAGCTGTATGGTATTCCACAGAGTATATGTGCCACACTTTTCGATCCACTCATCTGTTCCTGGACATTTGGATTGGTTCAATGTCTCAGCAATGATAACTAATGCTGCAAAAGTGCAAGTGCTTTTCTGACTGAGCATTCCCCTGTCCTCTGCATAGATACCCAGGAGTGGAATTGCTGGATCATATGGTAGTTCTATTTGCAGGTCTTTGAGGAACCTCCATATTGTTTTCCACAGTGGCTGGACCAATTTACATTCCCACCAACAGTGTAGGAGAGTTCCCAGAGGGTCTTTTTGATTTTCTGAAAAAATCCCAGAACTTCTTTTCCATGAGTACTCTTGGGTCCTTTATTGTCAAGTAGCCTTTGTTGCCAGCAAATACGTGAAATGGAAACATTATGGTTTCCATGGCATGGTCCATTCGAGATGGTGTTTTGGTGTTATCTGTTCAAAGCTTGGTGGACAGGCAGGTGTGGAGGCTGGGCGGGCTGGGATATGAGGCAGTGAGCAGAGCATAGCAGGCTAGGTTCCTTAGTACCTGGGGCAAGACGAGGCCTCAGTAACTTCTTTTTTCTTTTTCAAAGGTTTTTGCCATAGGGCTCCTACACTTGCTGGATAGACACAGTGAGACGGAAAGTAAGAACTCACCCACCGGGGGTATGGCCAAGCCTCAATCCCTTCTCCTCCATGCACTTCCTGTGATTTTGGGCATGTGCACACTGGTGTGATTTTTAAGTTACCAGGTCCAGGACTCAAACTGCAGTTGGCCATGTGGGAGTTCAGCACCATAACCACTCCACCACTTGCTGACCCCCTCTGTAACCTTTTAATAAATGTGTTTGCTGCTCAAGTCATCCTGAGTGGGTTTCTACTGTTTGCACATAGGATGCTCAATGCGGCAGCTGTCCCAGATTCACCCAGTCCCAGTTTAGCAACCCCGACTGAAAAGGAAGCTCTAACTTCTAGGGTGCACATCAGTCAGGCAAGGATTCCTCCTGAATCCTTGGGGGTGAGAGGGTTGGTTTTGTGCTCAGCCATACCCCAAACACATTGCTAGAAGACTGAGATTTTATTTTACCCAGCATATGTGAAATGTCCATTTCTGTAACCCAACAGCATAGCTCATAAAAGACAAAATCCAAAATACATTATGGAATGGAGCAGATGTCCACAAAGGAAATAGGGGTCCATGACACCTTTTATGTAGAGTTTCCCCGATGATTCACCAGTCTTTTTTGAGACTCACCAGTGCCAAACTGCAAATAATTGGAAGGACACATCTGGGGGCCAGCAGACAGAGTAGCAGTTCGAGTCCCAGATCTAGGGCCTTAATATTCATGCCAGTTGCCTGTGTGTATGCCCAAGCTCCCAGGAGGAGAATGAAGGAAGAGAGATTGTGGTGTGGCCATCCCCCTTGGGGGGCGGGGTGTGATTTCTCACTTTCCCTCTCACTATTTATATTTTTCTCTCTCCAGCGGAGCACACATGCCCTAAGGCAAAAACCTCTACCAAAAAAAGAAAAAGAAAGGACACATTTTATTTGGTAGTTCTACCTTTCCAGTGGAACAAAATAGGATACTTTTATTGAAGACTCTAAGAAATAAGACAAATAGAAGGGATCTTGTGTGTGGAATATCTGGAAATAAGATACATTGTTTTCTTATCTCTAAACCTTGGAGAGTTTATAGAAAAGACTTGGTAACAGCAAGACATTGTTAGGAAATGAATTTCTAAGCACAATCCCCACCTCCCTCTCTTCTCATAATCTATTTATTTCTGGTCACCTAGAAATCCATGAGATTCTTCAGAATCGGATGGAAAGACAGTTGTCCTGGTGGAGGTTTGCCAGGAAATTAGCTTTGGCTGAAGAAAAGAAACAGCTTTAACCATCACAGAGTGTCTATGTGCCACAGAGACCAGGAACCCTTCCACCTTTCTGAGTAGTCGTACAGGACACCAAATCTCTTGGGATTTACAGGCTCGGCCAGAGGCAAAAAGACAGTTTAAAAGAAGAGGGAGAGACCCAGAGCGGAAGGAAACAAGATAGAAAGATTGTTCACGGTTGAGAAAGGGAAGTGTATGAAATCCCACCAGAGTCTGCAGACCCCTCCATAAACAGTAACAGCTGCACGCCGAGTCCCTGCAGGAGTCTGTCCTGGATGTTTTCCGTCTGGCCCTCCAGATCCACTCTCCACACTTCTTCACCAGCTCTCTAACAGAGGAAGCGGAGCCATGTGGACTGCGTCAATCAGCTCCTGTCCATTCGCTCCCAGTTGAAAGCAGCCAGAGGGCCGCTCCAAGGAAAGGCAGAAGGATGGGAAGAAAATGACTCTGAGAGTTTCTCCCTGCTTCTCTCACAGCCAGAAGATTGCTACCATCAGGCAGTCTTCTCTATGCAGCCCCTTCTCCTTGACCTTCCAGGAACAGGATGGTAGGCACTCGTTGCTGTTCTAGCCTCAGTAAAACAGTACTGGTTTGGTTTGGGGGGAACAGAAGTTGTTTCTTTATTTTATTTATTTATTTATTAGAGGTTTTTGCTATAGGGAACATGTGTTCTCTGGAGAGACAGAGAGAGACAGAAATGACAAATCACCACCCCACACCGCAATCCCTTCTCCTCCATTCTTCTCTTGGGATCATAGGCACGCACACACCTGCTCCCAGCATAAGATTTTTTAAGGTTGCCCGGTCCAGGACTCAAACCATGGTGGACTATGTGGGAGTCCAGCAACATAACCATTACGCCATTTGCTGGTCCCATGTTTTTGTTTTTATCTGTAATCTCTGCTGTCACTTTGTAATTAGTGCCTTTACGTAGTGGTTTTCACACTTCCTTAGTCACATCATCAGAGCATGCCATCAGATTTGTGCTGGAGCTATGACTCATGCGAATGAAAACATCCTTCGAAAGAATTCAGGACTGACACGTGTGGTTTGGGGTGGGCAAAGGAGAGAGTAAATGGGTAAATTCAAAAGCAGGAAGAAAGCGAGTGGAATGGGAATAAGGATCAAGTGTTTTCACCTCAGCCATGTACCCAAGTGGCTTCCAAGTGGAGATGTCGAGTCTGCCCACAGGGGTGGCAAGTACCCTTTTAGAGATGAAGGGTTAGGAATCATTCACACATAGGAAATAAAACTAGATAAAGGTTGTTCAGAAAATAGCAGTAGAGGTCAGAAAAGCTGTGGGCAGTCCATGCGTTCCCCAGGACATGAGTGTTTAATGGGCAAAAGGAAGAACAGCTACTGACAAGGAGCAGTTGTGAAGGAGGAATAAAGCCCGTAGAGTGGTATCACTCGAGCCATGAGAGTAACGTGTTTTAAGAAGAACTGGATGCTGAGCAGTGTGAATCCAAGAAGGGTCTCTCAAGGATTTAAACTTGTCCTCTGCCTGTAACATTGGACGAACCAGAGAAACTTCTTTGTTAGAGAAATTTCCAAGGCATGGACTGTGGACACCAGTGTCCTATGAATCCCAGAGTGAAAAGGAAGTAGAGTAGGAGGGGGCAGGATGTAGAGATATGCTCTGAGGCATCTTGGCTGGAAAAGAACAAGTAAGTTGTGGCAGTAACCAGAGAGCTGAAAGAGTAAAAAGAGAATTTTTTTTAAGAATTATTTTATTTTACTTATTATTTTTAATTTGACCAGAGAGAGACAGAAAAAGAGGGAGAGGGAAAAGGAGAAAGTAAGCCACCGGATCCAGGACTTGAACCACAGTCAGCCATGTGGGATTCTAGCACCTTAACCACCATGCCATCTGATGACCCCAGGAAGATTTTCTTTTTTTTTTTTAATGAGAGAAACATGAGAATCTTTATATGTGGAGGGGACTAAACCAATAGAGAGGGAGTGTCTCAACCATAAAAGGACAAAGAGAGGCAGACTCCAACAGGTTAGACTTGGATAGAAGGGACCTTTTCCTTCATCCAGAAAGCTAGGCTAAGTGGACATGTAGACACAGCTTTTAGAGACAGGGAAGGAGTCAAGACATTTGATATCTTATGGCCTCGATTCTCTCAATAAGTTAAGAGGCATGGAAAATTTGATGGGAAGGGTTGACATAGATAGAGGTCTTGAAATTTTGAATAATTATAGAAACAAAAAAAAATGAAGAGCATCTGGAAATACTTTGAAGCTGCTCTACAAAGGAAAGAATGTAAGACCTAGATTTTTATAATTAAAAACCTAAAAGAGTGATGTTCACTAGCAGGGAGAAAGAATTTAATAAAGATACAGATGAATATAGATTATCAGTAAATTGGCTAGAGCAAGATAATGCATATTTAAACATTCTCCTACTTTCTCCCCATACTCTCCTGCCCAGAAATGTATACTCATAAGAGTTAAAAATTGTAAGTCTAGAGGAGGAGTAGGGAAAAGAGTTCCCTAGTATCCTCACGTACCCAGATATGAACATGTAATATTGTGTACCACTATGACCAAAATCAACTAGCAGTTAGAAGAATATCAAACTTTGAAAGCTATTTAAATTGTAAACACACACACACACACACAGGTGCAGTGATAACATACTATATCCTTTTTGTGGTGGTTGTTAGAGATTTTGCTATAAAGCATGTGCACTTGCCAGAGAAACAGGAGAGACAGAGAGACAGAAAGGGCGAAGTCACCCCCAGGGGAGATGGCCACGCTATAATCCCTTCTTCTCCATTCTCTTCACAGGATTTTGAGCACATACATGCACACATGCCCAGGGTTAGCTTTAAGTCACCAAGTCCAAGACTCAAACCGTGGTCAACTACGTGGGAGTCTAGAAATGTAGCCATCATGCCATCTGCTGATCCCATCATACTATATACTTTTAAAATCTGAATTCTCAATAAGATTGTTGAGATTTAATTTTTTTAATAAAGTTGTTTGATAGTCCTTGGTCTTAATGTGTTGTGTCATTCTTTTTTTCTTTTCTTTTTTTAGGATTTTACCATAGGGTGCACCAGAGATAAGAAATCATCTTCCTGGGGAAATGATCACACCACAATCCCTTCTCCATTCTCCCCTCAGGATTTTGGGCATGCACAATTATTTTCAAGTTGCCGAGTCCAGTATTCAGACCGTGGTCAGCCATGTGGGAATCCTATGCCTTAAATACCATGTCACCTGCTGGCCCCAGTGTCATCATTCTTTAACCAGAGAGTTATTGATGAACATTCAGATTGCAATAAAGACTTTTGCCTTTATAAGCAATGCTGCAATCAATAACGTTCATATAGAATTTATTTAAAGAATTGCCTTGTTCATTGTAATTATTTATTTTTTTCTGAAGTTGACCAGAGAGAGACAGAGAGAAGGAAAGTGAGAAAGCAAGCTGCCAGGTCTGAGACTCAAACCATGGTCACCCACGTGGGAGTCCAGGTGCCCCAACTGCCACACCACCTGCCGGGCCCACATATGTCATTTTCAAAATGTTATTTATTACTATTATTTTTTATTTGCTATAGGACACATGCACTCACCAGGGGCGGGGGGAGAGAGAGAGAGAGAGAGAGAGAGTGAGACAGCAAGTTGCCAGGTCCAGGACTTGAATCATGGTCGGCCATATGAGAGTACAGCCCCTTAACTGCCATGCCACCTTCTGGCCCCAGAAAGCAAGCCATCAGGTTCAGGACTTAAACTGTGATTGGTCAGCCATGTAGGAGTCCAGTGCCTTAACCATCACATATCACCACCTGCTGGATATGAGAGTGACTATTTCCTCACCACTTCACTAACATATTTTGTCAAAGCTTTTCCTTTTTCTTTTCTTCTTTTTTTTTTTAATCATTGCTGTTAAGCTTTAAAATGACATCCTGAATAGACCAGTGCCATAGTGCAGCGGTTAAGCTCTGTGCATTGGGAGTCACGTCTCACATGGCCGACCATGGTTCACAAATCCAGCCCCTGTGGCTTGAAAACCAGGGGTGTGTGCATGTGCATGCATGCCCCAAATTCATCCTGACGTGATAATGAAATGGCAGAGAAGGAATTGTAACATGACCATGTCCCATTGGGGGCTCTGCTGCTCTCTCTCGCTCTCTCTCTCAAGCCTATGTGCCCGCTGGCAAATATATATATAATTTTTTAAATGGCATTTGTTTCCATTTTTTCTTAGTATGAAGGAAGTTCTGAGCATCTTTTTATATGTTCAGGAGTCAATTGTCTTTATTTTGAAGTCTATTCATCACCTTTGCCCATTTTTCTATTGGGCAGTTGGTCTTTTTCTTACTGCTTCTTACAAGCTCTTTGATTATATATATATAATCAATCATTTTTATTCACAAATTTCATTTTTGTGAATTTACCCACTCCCATAAATTTATTTGTAATTCTCAAATCAATACTTGCAGGGCCTTTTTTAAGTCAAAAATAAAGTCTGAGACTGGTTACACTTCAGAGTTTATTTGAGCAAGATACAGGTTCTAGAACTGGGCAGCATTACAAACCAAAGTTGGTTCAGAATGTGCCATCCCACCACACATGCAAGTTATGTTTGCACCCATAGAAAAGAAAATGACACACAAAACCAAGGAAGAGACATACAAATTCCACCTGATCGGTGGAGTTGGCATTTGCCTTTTCTTTTTCTTTTCTTTTTTCTTTTTCTTTTTTTTTTTTTTTTTAAGATTTTTGCTATAAAGTGCTTGCACTCACCAGAGAGAAAGACAGTGCCACGCTGTAATCCCTTCTCCTCCTTTCTCCTCCTGGGATTTGGGGCACTCACGCACATGTGCCTGTCGTGATTTTCAAACTGCTTGGTCCAGAACTTGAACTGCAGTCTGCCATGTGGGAGACCAGCACTGTAACCACTATACCACCTGCTGGCCTCTGGCATTTGCCTTGTATGGTCATGGTGATCATTTGGCAGCCTGTGACTGAAAGAAGTTCAGCTACTGCCATGGGCTTAGGATGTACTCTTAAATTAGGTTACAGCTTGCTCGCACAACAGGCTAGGCTGCAGTTTTTCTAGATATAGAGACTGTTCTGGGCCAAATTTTATTACCCTAGTAGGGAGACTTTTAGACCAATTAATAGTGATCATTTGCAGACATGCTCAGGGCAGCAAAAACAAACGAGTCACCTGACAAGCATGTTTCCAGCTGAGATCCAACAGGACCACGCTCCCCCTCATCCTATCAGCTCTCATCTGTAAACAAGTGTCCTTTCCCAGTCTATTCAGTGCCATAGTTTCTATGCTTTTTATTGGTGATTACAGTTGTTGATCTGTTTCTGTTTTTTGTTTTTCCAGAGGCCATGTGCCCTCACCAGGGAGAGACAGAACACCCCTACTTGTGGTCACAGTGCAACCCCTTCTCCTCCACTTCTCCATTCTGTCAGGATTTTGAGCACCCACACACAGGCATCTGGCATGTTTTTCAAACTGCTGGGGCTGGGATTCGAATTACGGTCTGTCTCACGGGATCCCCCTTTCTATCCACACCACTTAGCCACGTGCTATAAGGCCGACCTACTGATTTCACTATTTAACGTGGTCACTAAGCTAAAGGGTTATTTAGTGTTTCTAAGAGCAAGACATTTGTGAATGTGCCTGATGGAGAAAAATCTATGTTAGGTAAGCTTAATTGAGGCATGAGTTAGGGTGCTGTTGGCTCTGAGTAGATAAGAAGGTAAGGCTCCATATTGATTGATTGAGGAAAACTGTGACTTAACATTCTCATTGTAAACTAATCCTATATTTCCCCTAGGAGCAATGGTTCAGTATTCACTAATTCAGTGTTCACAGCAACTTTGATGAACATAATTACTGTGAATAATGATGATCAACTGTGTTTGGGAAGTTAACTCTTTATTATATAAATTGTAATGACCTTGTCTGGTTTGTCATTTGTCATTTAATTTTGCTTATTTCAGTGGCAAAAATATCTTTTGTTTATTTTTATGTGGCCAAGTGGATGAAGTTATGTTTGCTATATGTTTCTAGTTACTAGGATTTAGTGATGAGGAAACAGTGAACAAGTGGGATAAACACCTGAATTCAGGTATTACCTGCCATCTGGTCTGTGTGCCTCTGCCCAAGCAGAAACAAACTATCCCTCTCTCCACTCAAATAAAACCCACCTGGTAGAGAGGAAAAGAGATTATATGACTATTACTTCAAAGGGAAGCAATTAGACTCTTAGGGGTACTATTTCACTTCATCCTTGAAATATTTATTTGAGATGGCATGAGCCCGTGGTCTCAGTTACAAAGATAATGTATGAAACCTTTCACTATTACTTGTACAAAATTTATAATAGAAATATTGTTATATTTTTAGTGTCATATTAAATTTCACTCAAACACAAGCTATAAGAGTTCATTGGGGCAATCATAATAAAACTTTCCCTGTAATACATTTTGACTGGGATCATCCCCAAAAGAATAAGGACCTGCCTTCTGGTGAGGTAAGGAGTATTGCGTCAATTATCAACTAAGATAGTCCACAGTTGTATGTTAATGAAGGCGAAAGTGACTAACTGAGTCCAAATTGGAAGTCACACTTCCAGCACTTCAGTTTGCTCAATTTCAGGTGATGGCTGATTTTCGGACTCTGATAGCAACATCCTTGCACAATGGCACCGTGTAAAAGCTTCTCCTTACCCACAATTCTCTTCACCAGTCATTTGACTTCTGTAATAGATACGAATCTGTGACCTACATGCACATTATCTCTGATGACATGAACAGTGAGCTGTGAAAAGGAGAATAACAAAGGTATCCTACTTGACGAGCATTTGATTTTACCACCACTAGAGCAGTAAGCGGGCCATACCTGTCCAAACTGGTGAGTTTTATTAAGTATAATCAACACAATACTATCATTGAATTTCAGTGTGTTGTTGATTAATCCCACACTTGTGAGTTTCAGTGCCCTAGAGCTATGTTTAAAATACTCACATCCTCACTTCTGATAGTTCGCCATTAGTTATTTTAAAACACTTTTATGTAAAATGTAAGTGTTCTCTCTACATTGCCATAGTTCTGTTCGAGAAAATGAAGTGCATTTATTGTTCTTAAAAAAGACACTCAGGGCTGAATGGTGGTAAAGCTGTAAAATGAGACACTCAGTGAGGCTGGTGCACCTGGGGAGGTTCTGCTCCATGTCCAGAGACCTCCCTGAGTGGCCCAGGCATATACTTGCCTGTGGTTCAGGTTGGCTAAGCCTAGGTATCTACCGATAGACCATAAGGAGCTCACGTGCTCAATCTCTCTCTGTCTCGCAATGTCTCTCACTTATGAAATAAACTTTAAAAATAAAAAAAAAAGAATGGGAAAAAAAGAGCCTTATGAAGAAGTGGATATTGCTGGAGGCAAAGATGGGAAATAAGTTTTCTGCTGTTCCCACCCTCCTTCTCCCTCTGCCTTCTTTGGTCTGAATTATGTGCACCATAACATAATTCTTATGTTAAGGCTCTAACCCCCAAAGGAACTCTTTGGAAATAAGGCTACTAGAAGGTAATTAAAGTTAAATGAAGTCATAAGGGTGGGGGCCTAAGTTGATAGTATTGATGACCTTATAAGAAGAGGAAATGATTTTTTTCCTCTCCCCTCACCCTTCTTTCTCTCTTCCTTCCTGTCTTCTTGTACATACACCAAAGAAAGTCCACCTGAGCACAGAAGAAAGTGCCATCTACAAGTCAGGAAGTGAGTCCTCACCAGAGTCCAGTCATGCTGGCACCCTGTTCTCAGACTTCCAGCCCCGAGAACTATAAGAAATAAATTTCTGTTGCTTAAGGTGGTCAGTCTGTGGTATTCTGTTACAGCAGTGAGCCTGACCCAGACACTGCCTCTCTTTAACTCAAAGACCCTGGTGCCTCTAGCTTACTGGTTCTGAACAGTCCACTTGAAGCCACTCGTTTCCTCATGTGCCACCCCCCCCAGCCTATGTCAATAATAGCCACAGTCCTAACCATTCTGTAACTTCTCCCTCGCAGTTAAACAAAACCTTTCCCTCTGACTACTGCTCCTAGTCTGGGCTGCTATGACAAATTACCATAGACTAGGTGGCTTAAACAATACAAATATTAAGCAATTATTTTCTCACAGTTCTGAGAGCTGGGATTTCAAGATTAGAATGCCAGCATGGCTAGGCTTTGGCAGGATCCCGCTTCTAGGTTGTCAAGAGCTACCATTGCCCTGGATCTCACATGGTAGAAAGAGAGCTAGCTAGCTTTCCAGCCTCTTCTTATATAGAAGGACACTCATCACATTCCTGAAGGCTCCATCTCAGGACTTTAATCACCTCTCAAAAGCCCTATCACTAAGTATCATCCCATTTCACATTAGGATTAGGATTTTTTTTTTTTTTTTTTTTGGAGAGGTTTTTGCTATAGGGCGCATGCGCTCGCCAAAAAGACAGAGAGACAGAAAGCGAGAAATCACCCCCCAGAGGGGATGGTCACGCCGCAATCCCTTCTCCTCCATTCTCCTCTCGGGATCTTGGGCACGCACACACTTGCGCCCAGTGTGAGTTTAAGCCACTGGGTCTGGGACTCAAAACTGCAGTCGACTACGTGGGAGTCCAGCGACATGGCCATTACACTAACTGCTGGTCCCTAGGATTAGGATTTCTACATACGAATTTGAGGGGACACAAATATTCAATTTATTGCAAACACTGGTTTTTGTCTTGGCTATTTTTGTGGGTTTTTTTGTAGGTTGTTTGGTGACTAGATGCTCTGATAAACTACTCTGCGCTGCTGTGTGGATGTTTGTAACGATTTGTTAGGTCACATTTAGGGTTTTTTTTTTTTTTTTTTTTTTGGAGAGGTTTTTGCTATAGGGCGCATGCGCTCGCCAAAAAGACAGAGAGACAGAAAGCGAGAAATCACCCCCCAGAGGGGATGGTCACGCCGCAATCCCTTCTCCTCCATTCTCCTCTCGGGATCTTGGGCACGCACACACTTGCGCCCAGTGTGAGTTTAAGCCACTGGGTCTGGGACTCAAAACTGCAGTCGACTACGTGGGAGTCCAGCGACATGGCCATTACACTAACTGCTGGTCCCTAGGATTAGGATTTCTACATACGAATTTGAGGGGACACAAATATTCAATTTATTGCAAACACTGGTTTTTGTCTTGGCTATTTTTGTGGGTTTTTTTGTAGGTTGTTTGGTGACTAGATGCTCTGATAAACTACTCTGCGCTGCTGTGTGGATGTTTGTAACGATTTGTTAGGTCACATTTATTTGTCTCCCCTTCTCCCAACCCAGGCACCTGGAGGCTAGGTAGTGCCTGAAAATGAGAGAAAGACCCTTAATGGTTAGTGTCTCCCTGGTGCCCCTGACATGCTTGTCAGCCAAGCCCACAGTACTTCCTTGAACAGGTACCTCTGCTTCTGAGCCACAAGTTGGGTACAGTGCTTAAGGTACAACAACCACTTACACCCACTTCCTTCCCCCAGAGCTTTCCAATCAGATGGGCCCTGGCCATGGAATTGAACATGAGTTTTCCTTCTCTCCCTTCACCTACTCCAGATACTTACACATTTTTGACCTTTTCTTTTGATCTATGAAAATCGCTCTCCTCTCTGATTGCCCTTTAAAAAGCTTAGCATGAACTTGTCAATGCTGAGGCTTTAGGAAAATAAAAGCCAGGAAAACAAATGTTTTACTGACCACTTCAGCTTCCGGCGTAGAAATAAAAATTTCCTTTGCCAAAAGAGTACCGGAAGGCTTGGTTACCCTTGCGGAACTAGGAAAATGAAAATACAGGGAAAAAACATGTTATTTTCTGAAACTACCCTGGCGTACTAACAACGGGTCTTGAATAGGAAGATCTGATACAATTATAAGGCAAGTTTCCTTCCTATTATTAGGCAGCTGGTAAGAGCACCAGCCTGGAAATGAGACTCAATCCCAGGTCTACTAATAATTCCCTATAAGTCGCTTCAATTCTCCGAACTAAATTTTGTTCATTTATTCATTCAACAAACTTGTTTAAGCACTATTCTCTGCAAGAACTTGGGGTGTGTGTGATGTAAGTCTTGAGGCTTCAAAGATTTATCTTGAACTCAAGGAGCACAGAATCCCATATAAACTGAAGGTTGCAAGATGCTATGGGAACATCAAAGAAGAGAACTTAACGTGGGCTGGAGGGGGCCATCTTAGCGGAGTCTTGCGGGAACAGACAATGACCAGGCCAAGGGCAGCACTGAAAGGGGTGGCACTAGCAATAGGACTGATGTATGCGGTTCCTAGAGATGTTGGTATGAGCTGAATTCTAGTATGGCTTCTATTCCATGGAGAAAAGCTTATACTATCTCCAAATAGCAATGGGGCATCCTGGAACAGCTTTGGGAAAGGGGATAATATGCTAAAATTTGCATGTTTTTGTTGTGTTATGTTTTAGCACCTGAGACACAAATTTACGATCTTCAAGTACTATCTATAGTCAGAAGCCTGAAGTCAGAAGTCTTTCTGAGGTAAAATCAAAGCATCAGGGAAGAATCCATTTACTTGCCCTTCCCAGCATCCAGAAGTTGGCCACATTTCTTAGCTCACAGCCCCGTCCTCCCACAAAGCCAGCGAAGGCAAATCTGAGTTCTCACATTGCATCACTCTGACTTTCCCTGCCTTCCTCATTCACATTTTTAGACATTTTCATTGTTGTTGAGGTAAAGTTCACTTAACATATAATTAACCATTTTAAAGTGTGTAATTCAGAGTCATTTAGTACATTCACAATGCTGTATAGCACCAATCTACATAGTTTCAAAACATTTTCATCACCTGAAAAGAAGTGTCAAAACCCTTTAAGCAGGCACTCTCTCCCTTCCCCAGCTCCTAGCAAACACTGAGCTGCTTTCTGTCTCTATGGGTTTATGTATTCTGGCTATTTCATATTAAGGGAACCTTATAAAGTGTGGTCTTTTAGGTCTCCGCCCACCCCAGTGAGGCCTGGTCACACCGTAGGACTCAAACTGCGGTTGGACAGAGGGGATCCAGTTTCCTCCACACAGTGCTTAGCCACTGCACTGCCAGCCCTATTTTCTGTTTTTTGTTTTGTTTTGTTTTGTTTAAAATCGCTAGCCTAGTGGTTTTGAGGTAGTATCCGTGGTTTTGATTTGCATTTCCCTGATGGCTAATGACTCGGAGCATCTTTTCAAGATATGCATTTAGAGGTTGTATGAAAGATGGACTTAAAAGGGAGTTTAAAAAAAGGTGATGGGACCAGCAGTTGGCATGATGGCTAGGTCGCTGGACTTCCATGTAGTAGACCATGGTTCGGGTCCTGGACCAGGTGGCTTAGACTCACGCCAGGTGTGTGTGTGTGTGTGTGTGTGTGTGTGCCCAGGATCCCAAGAGGATAATGGAGGAGAAGGGATTACGGCGTGGCCATCCCCCCTGGGGAGTGATTTCTTGCTTTCTGTCTCTCTGTCTCTCTCTGTTTTTCTGGTGAGCACACACACCCTGTGACAGGAACCTTTCAAAAAAAAAGGTGAAAAAAAAAACAATTTTCTATGTTAATTCAAATGATGCTATAAATAAACAGTAGGAGTCAAAAAGAAATTGGAGAAATATTTAGAAAGGAAAATTACAAGAATTCAGGACCGGGACCAGCAGATGGTATAATGGTTACCTTGCTGAACTCCTACATAGTTGACTGTGGTTCAAGTTCTGCACCCAGCAACTTAAACTCATGCCAAGTGTGTGTGTATGCATGTCCAAAATCTTGAGAGGAGAATGGAGGAGAAGGGATTGTGACACAGCCATCTCCCCAAGGGGTGATTTCTCATTTTCTGTCTCTCACTGTCTCTCCTGTGAGCTCACACACTCTAGAGCAAAACATCTCTCTCTTAAAAAAAAAAAAAAAAGAGAGAGAGAATTCAGGACCAGTTGATGAACTGGGCAGCTTGAAGGAAGAGAAAAGTCAATACCCTCTCACTATCTTCATTCATAAAAATGAAAAGGTTGGACCAAATGTCCTACAATGTTACCACTGCTAACATTCCTTTCTCAGAGTGGCCTCACCTTGCAAACATCGAAGAGATTTATCAGATGAAATTTATTCAAGGCTCCTTAAAATTGATGTTGCATACATACATTAACAGATTCTAGGGATAAGCTCCTGTCATTGTGGAGACAGCTGAGACAGGACAAAATTTAAATTGGAATATTTAAATTATTTAAAAATTTATTGTTAATTAACTTAGCAATGAAACCTCTAACTATTTGTCATTCTGTATTATATAATATTCTACACATCAAGCTCCAGGGACTTGCCATACTGACTCAGCCTATGCCCTATCATAGGAATATGAATTCTAATTGCAATTATTTTTAAAATCTGTACAATGTAAATAAGTCAGTGCTCCAATTCCCAACTAAAGGCATAAGTTTTATGTTAGGTTCAATCATGGTGGCACAGATGGGAGGACACTAATGCATGATATTGAACCCACAAAAGAGGCCCTGGTTTAGATCCTAGGTCGATTGGAACATACAAGGTGTGCCTACATTTCTGATTGGCCTGAAAGTTGGAGAGAGGATCAGAACATGTCAGGACCCTGGTGAGAGTACCTATTTCTTTCTCTCCCTCAGAGAGTGGGAGAAGGTGAAAGGGATGAAGAAAGGAAGTAAAAAAAAAATTTGTTTTAAAATAGTGTAAGCTGCTGGGTCCAGAACTTGAACCACAGTCAACTATGTAGGAGTTCAGCAAGGTAACCATTATACCATCTGCTGGTCCCGGTCCTGAATTCTTGTAATTTTCCTTTCTAAATATTTCTCCAATTTCTTTTTGACTCCTACTGTTTATTTATACCCTCATAAGAAGGGTCAAGGTTATATCAGGATTAAAAGATTTTACGGTATACAGTTTTCTTGATTTGGGTCTAGTTTTCTCCTTTCACATACACACACACACACACACACACACACACACACGTGTCAGATGAAAGTTGACAGACTTCAAAATTTACGTTAGACCTTAGCCTGGTTGGACCCAAAACTATTTCAGTAAGAACACTTCTTTAAAGTTGTAAATGAAACTGGCCTCTAACTACAAAACTACTGGTAGAAAATATAGAGGAAACTTTTGAAGACATTGGACTAGGCCAAGATTTCTTAAATAAAATCCCTAAAGCACAAGCAATGGTTCCTAAAATAAATAAGTGGGATTATATCAAACTAAAAAGCTTCCTCACAGCAAGGAAACTATAACTAGAATAAAAAGACAACCCTTAGAATGGGAGAAAATATTTGCAAATTATTCCTCAGACAAGGGATTGATAGAATCTGAAATATATAGAAACTCAAACAACTCACTCATTAGAAAAAAAAAATTCAGTTTAGAAATGGGCAAATAAATTGAACAGACAGCTCTCCAAAGAAAGCTTATGAATGGCCAAGAGCCATACAAAAAAATATTTGAAGTCTCTTGTCATAAGGAAAATCCAAATTAAAGCTCTAATGAGATATAATTGAACCCCACTTAGAATGTTAAGATCAAAAAAAAATAAAGAGAAAGTGTTAACACAACTGTGGTGAAAAAGGAGCTCTCTTACACTTTTGGTGGGAATGCAAATTAGTCCAACTTCTGTGGAAAACAATATGGAGATTTCTCAAAAACTTACAAATAGGGGCCAGCAGATGGTGTGGTGGTTAAGATGACTGGACTCCCACATGGCTGACCACTGACCACGGTTTGAGTCCCAGACCCAGCAGCTTGCTTTCTCTCTCTCTCTCTCTCTGTCTCTCTCACTCTCTTTCTCTCTGTCTCTCTCCAGTATAAATAAATAGTTAGATAAATAATTCTTTAAAAAAAACTTAGAAATTGTAACGACCCAGTAATCTTACTTCTTGTTATCTATCCAAAGGATAAGAAAACCTCAATCAGAAAGACATCTGACATTCATGTTTATTGTAGCATTATTTACAGTGCTAAAACATGGAACCAACATAAGTATACAAAAACTGATGATTGAGTTTAAAAACTGTAGAACATAGGGACCAGCAGTTGGCATAATGGTTGTGTTGCTCCCATGTAGTTGGCCACGGTTTGATTCCCAGACCCAATGCCTTAAATTCATGCTGGGCATGTGTGCATGTGTGCCCAAGATCCCAAGAGGAGAATGGAGGAGAAGGGATTGCAGCATAGCCATCCCCCTGGGGGGTGATTTCTTGCTGTCTCTCTGTCTCTCTCTGTCTTTCTGGTGAGCACATGCACCCTAAAGCAAAAACCTCTTAAAGAAAAAAAACTGTGGAACATATATACTCTGGAATATTGCATAACTAAAGAGGCAATGAGATCCTATCATTCAGTTTAAAATGGATAAATATAGAAGACTTAAAGTTGAGTGAAGTGACTGAAAGATACATATTGTCTATCTCCTGTCAATTTGTACTGTCTGCACTTTATGGCAGAGGTTGAGAAATTCGAAGATGTGATGGTGAAGAGGATGGGTGTGGATGCCAGAAACTATAAGGGGGGAAAGTGGTGGGTAGAGAGTGGCTGGTGGATGGTAGGACAGTCGTGTCTACTTAAGTTGTTTCTGTGTTAAACTAGCATGCAGATTGTTTCATGAATGCTTTCTCAAATTATGAAAATTTGAGTGCAAAAAGTTTTGAGAACAGCAGATGGTATAATGGTTACATCACTGGATTCCCACATAGTCAACTGTGGTTCAAGTCCCGGACCCAGCAGCTTAAAACTCACATCAGGTGTGTGTGCATGCATGTCAAAGATCCCAAGAGAAGGGACTGTGGCATGACCATCCCCCTGGGGTGTGATTTCTCACTTTCTATTTGTCCGTCTCTCTCTGTCTCTCTGACTAGCACGCACACCCTATGGCAAAAATCTCTTGAAATTTTTTTTTGAAGATTATAAATGATAAACTTATGTTTATAAGAGAAAAATGAATTAAAACTGTTTTGAATTACCTGGAAATAGTTCACTTTAGTGTATATCTCTTATTTGTCATCAAAGGAGCACTTTGCCTAAAAGCATTGACTGATAAGTGTACAAACTATTTACAATCTTTTGTGAAATTATAGTTTATCATTAGTTGGTATTCATAAGTTATTATAAACATTATCTGTAATTTTGGTATATACACCTTTGTATTTTGAAGCTTGCATCTGAATTTGCAACTGAAATGTATTTTGCCAATGTCTTATGAATGAACTAATAAAGCTGCTGTTGGAGGAAAAAAATGTTATAAATGTTAACTCAGAAGTTATCTTGAGTTAACTCTAGTTAATAGTGAACCAGAAATTGTACATTATATAATTCTTCTCTTAAAAACTTAGGAATAAATATAACTAATAGAATAAATTTAAGTGATATAATCCCAATAAGCAAAAACTCCACCTACTCCAAAAAACCAGAAATGATCATTTCATCATGTGCATTGTCAAATAACTGTAATTCGGTAGTGCTATGGTGATATGTGTACATATGTGTTCAAACTACTGTCTTTATTGGAAGATGGATGAAGTCTTTTGTTTATTATCATTATATCATGAAGAAAATAAAGGAGTTGAAGGGTTTTGCCCTTCATAAGCTGTATTAAATCATCTTTCATTTTCTGCCATTTATCCATAATTGTTCATCATTTCCTATTCTTAGCTTAGTTGTCTTTGAGGCACACATTCCATTCAACCATT